GTATATATGTAGTATTATATAGTACTATATTATATTACACTAATACACTATATTACAATTAAGATAAATTTCAAAATCTAGTTAAAAATAAACGTCACCCATATGTGACTAACGCGGCACCCATCGTGTTAATACTTTGACTATCACAGCGACAACTTCAAAATATGCTTTATAAAATGATATTTTATTGAATCAAATTAAAATTGAATAGTTAAGTTTTACCATTCTCACGTTTTGTCGATCTTAATAAAACTAGGAATTTAAAAGGGATTTAAAAAACTAGAAATAAAAAGCTGTAATAGGAAGTGTTATAAGGAATAGCCAAAGCTTCGAATTTTTACTCTCCGGATCATAATTTCAGGGAGCTTTATTTTAACGCTCGATTGTTTGCCATTTGCAATAATGTATGCTACAAATGCACAAACACCTGCAGCCTAGGAAAAATAAATATAGTCTCTGTTTACAACAGATGATTTGTGTGCCCAAATATTTGGGCATGCTTCTGTGTCTGCATATGGTAGCTAAATGCGGATGTTTCCGTTGGTTGCAGCGCGAATCGAAGGAAAAAACTTCGTGTAGAAAATTCGTGTGCCATCACTGCGACAGCGATTACAATTGGTAGTAGAGAAATAATTAAAATGAGCTTCGGGTTGTCACTGTTTCAGTCTACACCTCGCGCGGTGCAGAATAGAAAAGTTAATTTTTAGGAGAATTAACTTCTTAACAGGTCTCGCGAAACAAATTGCGCTCGATGCATAAAAATCTGCAGGCTGCTCACGATCGTTACAGCCTCCAACTACCTGCATCGCAACAGGTGCATTTTTCCTCGGACAGCCCGAGGACCCTAAACCCGGCTGATGTGGCCGAGGCTTACACTCTCCGCCCACGCTTCTTGATGCCGTTGTAACTAAAGTAAAACGAAATTAGTCCCCGCATCAAAATTAACTTTACGGTCCTCTGCTACGCGAGGTCGCAGCTGGGCTAAATCAAATATTAATTTAGACAAGCTAAAAATACCGTTACGCTATTCCCAGCTTAGCTAAAAATTTCTAAAAAAAAAAAAAGTGGCACGATTCTGTTTCACTCCTGTGTTTCGCAAACTTGCTGAAATGTGCATGAAATTGCAGAAAACGTGTATTCTGCGTAAAAATCCGCGGTCTGGTCATAACGTGTACCATAAAGCGGACGGAATTTACGGCATTCTTTCTCAAACATTCTTCATGCGCCCATAAAGGAGCACGGTCGCTTTTTGATGCTACATTGTAAGCTCAAAAACTATCAGAATATCAAACGAAAGCAGTCGAACGACAAACATGGGTACACCGCAACCGAGAGCGTAAAAATCGTTATTTAAGACTCGAGTCCATTTAGATAAACAATATAAGAACGATAAGACCAAAAAGAATAGTCAGAATAATAAGAACAATAAGAACAATAAATACAATAAGAACAATAACAATAATAAGAACAATAAGAATAATAAGAATAATAAGAATAATAAGAATAATAAGAATAATAAGAATAATAAGAATAATAAGAATAATAAGAATAATAAGAATAATAAGAATAATAAGAATAATAAGAATAATAAGAATAATAAGAATAATAAGAATAATAAGAATAATAAGAATAATAAGAATAATAAGAATAATAAGAATAATAAGAATAATAAGAATAATAAGAATAATAAGAATAATAAGAATAATAAGAATAATAAGAATAATAAGAATAATAAGAATAATAAGAATAATAAGAATAATAAGAATAATAAGAATAATAAGAATAATAAGAATAATAAGAATAATAAGAATAATAAGAATAATAAGAATAATAAGAATAATAAGAATAATAAGAATAATAAGAATAATAAGAATAATAAGAATAATAAGAATAATAAGAATAATAAGAATAATAAGAATAATAAGAATAATAAGAATAATAAGAATAATAAGAATAATAAGAATAATAAGAATAATAAGAATAATAAGAATAATAAGAATAATAAGAATAATAAGAATAATAAGAATAATAAGAATAATAAGAATAATAAGAATAATAAGAATAATAAGAATAATAAGAATAATAAGAATAATAAGAATAATAAGAATAATAAGAATAATAAGAATAATAAGAATAATAAGAATAATAAGAATAATAAGAATAATAAGAATAATAAGAATAATAAGAATAATAAGAATAATAAGAATAATAAGAATAATAAGAATAATAAGAATAATAAGAATAATAAGAATAATAAGAATAATAAGAATAATAAGAATAATAAGAACAATATCAATAATAAGAACAATAAGAATAATAAGAATAATAAGAATAATTTCTTCATAGTTTTATTATTTTTATTATTCCTATTGTTCTTATCGCTTTTATTATTCTTAATACAAATATTATTATTTGACTAGCTAACAATTAACTTAAATACCCTGACAATCAACTTAAATTTTCACACGTTTAATTCAATTAAAAATTAAATTCTATGTCCTAGAAAACGAAAGCATTCGGTGTCACAATCTCTGCTGCAATTTAAAACAATCAATCTTACCATCTTAATTTGCACAAACTCATCGTCCTCGTCGCATGAAATATTTGCAAGTTCGACTTCGTTTTCATCGTTGATGTAAATTTCGTCGGACGAATTTCTCTCAATACTTTCCTTTCACTAAGCATCTCATTAAATTTGCTGCAGCGTCTTCGTTAAATTTCATTAAATCACGTCGAAATCTCATTGCACGTCGAATATTTCGATCGACGTAATGGCGCATGCAATGGCGCTTTCCAGCATTTTTTGGCGAATTCAATAGCTTCGTAGAAATTTACTGACCCGGTGAATTGATATCGCCTATAAAAACTATCCGCTTAAATAGCGTTCTAATTTAGCGTGTAAAAAGGGGACGCGCGTGAAAAAGTGTCGCGTAAATTAAAGAACGGCCGCGTTATGAATAACCGTGAGCGCGCGCCGAGCTGTATTGTTGTCCGAGCGGGTCGGCTCCGCGAGCATGAAAGAAACGCGAGAAGTAAATGAACGGCACCGATATTTTTATCGAATGTTTACGGGGATCTGCAGGACGCTCGGGGTGCCGGTGGTCTCGCTGTTCTCTCATCTTGGTCCAACTCGTTCCACGGACGAAAATACCGGCGAAAACAATGGAACGGAAGCGGCGCGGGGCGGGTAAGGCCGGACGCGTTTCCCGATGCGTCATGCGGTACAGCTAAGTGAAAAAAAGAAGAAGAGGACCAAAACAAGGCATCGCGATTCCGATTGGCAAAAAGCCGAGTCCCGCGGAATCACTGCTCGTCAGCGTGTCGAGGATGCTCGAGATTCTTCGGCGAAGTTTTTACGCGTGGACGCGCATAAAAATGGACGACGGGCGAGCTCTCTTTCCTTCACGGTGACGTTAAAGGGGATGCGCGAGGCAAGGGGTTGCAATCCCGGCGTGTTCCCATGACGTTTTCTTGGAGGTCGAACCTTTGAAAGACTTCCGCTCGCTGCACAGCGCAACTGAATCCAAGAAATGTTCGAACGTCCATGCGTATTTGCGGAATATAAAATTAGTAGACGAGAATTCTACAAATCTTTGGATGTTAGTCGCTGTATATTCTGCTTCAGTATTTTCTGTTTCGACGTTCTTGCATTAACATATGCTGTTTCGCAAATCGCACAAAATGTTTGATCGAGATAAATTTCTTCCTTCGCGCGTCTCTTTCGATGTTTTTTCAAATACGACTCCTCGTGTCACGGTAAATCGTCGATTTCGGTCATTATTCCACGAGGTAATTGATTGTAAATGCTTTAAGTGAGTATATTAAAATAGAACGTGCGAGAACTATATACCGTTCAATTTCAGGAAAATGTGTATACTTCTTTGAATTCATCCTTTTTGAAATCCTTTCTCGATGTATGGATTTCTCTGAAAAATGATAGATAAAGAGATTGTATAACGATATAATACAATAATTTCTTCGCGTGAAATAATCAAAATTACAGAATATTTTCGCTCGTTTTCTTTCCAAACAATTTTTGAAGACGACGAAGTTCCTTTATCGTAGACTAAAATTGTACAAACTTTTCTTCAAATTCTCCATATTTTAGATACAACAAACACTGTTTAACGCTCGTCGGCAAATAACAATGCACGTGTGAGTATTGTTTTTTTATTGTTCCGACAACACCGCGTACAGAAGACGTCGTTATAAAAAATAAAGTATCCGAACGTTAATGCATAATTTCAGCCGGAAAATCTTTTCTACTCTCCTGGGACGTTCTAAAGATATCGGAAAGATTTGAATTGGAAACGTTCGACGAAGAGAAGCCGACTTCCGAATCGAGACTGTGGATTCTGGTCAACAGGGTAGTTGTTGAACGAGATTGGCAGATCGATCCGAGACGTCGGAAATAGAAGACGCACGGCGATTAACGACATGCTGCAGAGTTGCGTTCCATTAAATAGTAATTAAATCCGATGCATTCTGACGAACGTGTCCGTTTTATACCGTCGCAGTTATACCGTCGACGCACGGTATCGGACGTTAAAAATATTTGTATTATTGAAACGAAGCTGATCGAAGCAAAGTCAATCAACGAAGCGCGGCGATGCTGTATTTTCCTTTCTCGAGATAAATGTCGGTGCAGTCTGCAATTAAATTAGCCAACTCTGGCTTAGAATCTTGCACAAGGGCGGATTGCACGCCAGGGGCTGTTTCATACCTAACCTAGAAACTCAAACTAATGTCGGACTATTCTACCACTAAATTCCATTCAATTATAACAACAGGTATATGCATGTACAAGTAGAAACGGAAGAAAAACAGAAGAAAGGGGAAACGCAACATTGGCGAACTTAAACGGTCTCGAAACATTGAGTCGAATCGGAACTGTTTTCTACCGAACAATTTACGCTGTCGTATAAATAAACTGATTTTCTAGTAATTAGGACATAGTCGAATTCCAGGATTCCATAGATTGGAGCCGATTTTTTAAGGAAAACCTTAACTTTAACTTGCATAAAGAATCGGTTGCTATTAAATGCTATTATTGGAGTGTTTTATAATCACTGATCTTACTAAACAAAAACTTCACGTAACTCGAATTCAGATATCTTGAAAAAAAATTTCATTTATTAATTACGCGATTGCAAAAGAGACACGACAGATGAAAATACTTTCGCCGCGTTGTGGTTAAAAATGAAAAATGAAATGAAATCTATGACACATCGGCGTGCGACTTTAAAGTTAAATCAAATTTGTTGCAAGATAGCATTGATACAGTTTGTATGCAACGGAAATTTGTTGCCTTCGTAATTATCGGCAGCGCAAAGGATTAAATGGACGAAATCAAATTAAAGGATTAAATAAATTTTACGGGACCTTTTGGCAATGAGAATGTTTTCGAAGTGATCAGATTTGTTCCGCATTTTTCTAGGGAAATCCGTGCCGGAAGAGAAATAAAGGAGAGATTTACTGGTCGCGTACAGAGACACGCGATCTGCTACCAATAATGCATCACGGTTTTCGATCGGCATGCGGCGCATTGATTTACCGTGGCGGAGCGCGGCGCCGCTGATAACGGTAAAAACAGTCGCCTGGCCGCGGCCTGGGCCAATAAATAATGAAATGAACCGTAATTTTTTGAACAGAGCTTCCCGGTTTTTCGCGGGAACCGATTAATCTTCCGTTTCTTCCTCCTATCGGATAGCAGACAAGTGGCTCGGGACACGGAATAGATTCGGTAACTCCCGCGGACCGGTTATTTCATCGAGCCGGCTCCGTTCTACGCGATAAATTCCCGTTTATATGCCATCCACTTAAACTTCTCCGCCGTTTGTTTCCCAGAGAGAGAGAGAGAGAGAGAGAGAGAGAGAGAGAAAAAAGACATCGAATCTCCTAATCGGAAGAATACGGTCGAATGCGCTCCAGTTGACTTCTACGACCGAGCTGCCCTATTGCAACCGGCTCAGTACCGATCAATGACTATGCTTCGCTGTGAACCACATCCAGGTAAGCTGTGTTTAAACTTTTAACCCTTACAGAGCGGTGGCTGCGTCAATTTTGATCCGGAGCGTTCAAATCGCTCTCAGATTACGCAATTTTCAGTAATTAAATCAACTAAATTGCTGTTGCATTGGGAACAACGGAAAGGCTGCAAGAAATGTCTTCGAAAGTATGTTTTGAAAAATTGTCGAATCCAGCACAGAATTGTTATAAATGGACAGCAAATTTTATGCATTTTTAGCGAGAATGACTGGGTCAAATGCAAGAATATAAAGACGTTAAATGAATTATTATTCCGATAGCGAACGTATTATCTGCGCATTTTCGAACTCGATTTTCTTGTAAACGAGGCTCCAAACGGAAAATTGTTATTCCTTTTTTTCGTCTTATTTTCGCACGTAGAATCGTCGCATGTCCAATAATACCCCTAACGCGGTAACACCCTGTACGCGAATTATCAAAACGATTAAAAGAGAAAAGATAATTTCATCGAATTCACGATTCTTTCAATGAACCAGTTATGCAGAGAATTTTCATTTTGCATAAAGACCTACGATCTACTAATGAGGAATAAAGGAAAGCTTAGTAAAAATGTAAAATGACGCGAAAAGTACGGCTTCCATTTATTATTAAGGAGACACGAGTTTAAACAAGTTCTCGATCATGACTGATTTGTTAATACAACGTTATTCAAGTATTAATATTTCGTTACCTTTCCACGCGTACGTATTACTGAATTTATAGTCCCGGCATTGAATTAATAAGACCTTTAGAATCCCAGTTGCCAATCATCGTGCGCGTATTACAGTAATGTCTCCCTAACTGACGCTCATACAGTAATGTCTCCCTTACTGACGCTCGGATTGTCCACTAAATTGGAAAATTTGGGAAGAGGAGATACGATTATTCGAGCCTTGCGGCTCGTTTTTATAATTGTGGACAATTTATAACTACAAAAATAAACCGCAAGGCTCGAATAATCGTATCTCCTCTTCCTAAATTGTTCATTTTTGTGGACTGATCTGAGCGTCAATTAGAGAAACATTACTGTATTCCGCTTGCAGATGCAAACGAGTTGAGAAGAAAACGTCCCAGTGAGACGTTAGGTGATAATACTGTAATACTGATAATACTGTAGATGCGATCGCGACATCGATGCATTATACAGTGTATCCCAAAAATGTCTCGCAATACGGAAATGTGGGGTAGTTGATGTCATTCTAAGTAACTTTTTCCTTCGCGAAAATGCAATCTGCCGCTTTGTTTACGAGTTATTAACGAAAAACACTGACCAATGAGAGACGATCTCGCCTAGCGCTTGGCGGCCGAGCCAATGAGCGCGCGAAGCCCAGTTCCGCTCATTGCGCCAGCCCTATTGCATACCGCCTTGCGCCAGCATATCTCAGCTTTCATTGGTCACTTTTATTCGTTAATAACTCGTAAACAAAGCCGTGGATTGCATTTTCGTCAAGGACAAACTTACTTCAAATTACCTCAGGAACCTCCCATTCTCGGATTGCGAGACATTTTTGGGACAGCCTGTATTGTACTCTACAGCTCGCGCCACATTTGACTGATTAACTCGGACAATTGTTACTTTGCATGGAGCTTCTCAATCTGTTTAGAAACGTCGCGAACAGCAGCACAGTTGCGAAAATACGCCGATGGTTAAACACTGACAGCTGACGCGAAGGTTCCATTCGTCTCTCATAATGTTCCTTCGACGCCCACGGAGCTCCGAAATATCAATTACCTGCCCGCCGTAAAAGTTTTTCCACTTCTGCCTCGGGTGAGATATGTGTGCCATCGGCGACTGGTCGTAGAACAGGAAATTTCGGACCGTTTCGCAGTCGACGTTCCCGGCTTTATGTCACCCCGACGCGGCGCGGCGCGGAGCGGAGCGGCGACGAAGTGCTTCGACCCCTAAGCTCCATCGTCGAAATCTCGCCGTCCCCTGTCGTCGCCGGGTCCATATCACGATGGTGTAACAGCACTTTCCCCCGACCAGGGGAGCGTTACACGTACCCGGCGACCACGGCCTCGAATAAAATCCGCCGCGCCGTTACGAAATCGGCTCCGCTCGGAAAACGCGCGCCGCGTAGACGCGCGTTGCGTAATAGCCGAGGGTCTTCTCCGTTCCCGACACATCTGCGATGGAAACGCACGGTCGTCGCTCGTTTCGAGCGTGAATTCGGCCCGGACCGGAAGCCCGGCGTATTTACTGCCAGCCGCCCTCATCCGTGTAATGCAGGCGATGCCCTCTGGGCCACTATCTTTCGGCAACGGGATCCTGCCCCGCCGCTTTGTTTCGAGTGCGGTGCACTTCCTTTGTAACCACGGTCCATCTGGGCACCGGGAATTTCTAATTTAAGGCTCCGTCTTCGATTGAAATCACTGTTCCCGCGATTAATCAATAGGGTCCGGGAAGTGCGTCAATTTGAAAGTAGCGGCGTCTCTGCATCCAGCGAGCTGCTGCATCCGTTATTTACATCTGCACGGATCCGTGTCTGGGTTTCTGTGTGTCTTCGCAATTCGAGCACTCGATCTTAAGATGTTTAATGCCATACATGCTTGGGAGAGAGAAAAATGTTCACAGAATTTTGAACTTCTATTTATGATGTTGTCGGAACATTGTTGTGTATTTTTGTAAATTTTTTATATTTTATTTTTGAAGGTACCTGAATGAATTCTTTTTTTTTAACTGCTACAATAAATCGTAAATGTCGTACGTGTTTTCAATGAAGTATTTTCGGAAATGAGTCGGGGGAGAGAAAAATGTCCAGAGAATTTTAAACGTCTATTTATGATCTTGTTGGAACCTGTCTCTTATACACATCTAGATGTGTATAAGAGACAGTGTCTTACGTGTTTTCAATGAAGTATTTTCGGAAATGAGTCGGGGGAGAGAAAAATGTCCAGAGAATTTTAAACGTCTATTTATGATCTTGTTGGAACATTG